TTATCCGCTCTGTGCGTACGTACCTAACCCAATCTACGTACATGGGGAAAAAAAGAAATGCGCGCCAGGGACGCGGGTTCGAGCGGGTGCTCGCTTGCTTGGGACCGGATCTTTCCTCCCTCCCCTTTTTTTCCTTTTCCCACTCCCTCCTCCCCCCCCTGCCCATTTACCGGGTAGGAGATAAAGAATTAGGCGAATTGTCTCGGGACCAAGCTTGACAAGACCAGACCCACGATATGACAATTCCAAAATGCGTCGACAACAAATTGGGCCTCGTAGTCACTACCTATAAAATCCCTGTTACGATGACGGAGTAGTGTCTATTTAGCTACCTATCATGTCTCGAATTGGAAACATACCTAGGTAAACTACGGAAAAGCTCAGGGGTTTTTGGGAATATAGATAGATGTTTTACGCGGTATTAAGTTATCAAGCTTCGCTAGAACCAAACCTTTTGGCCGGTGATATCACAAGTACGACTCGAGTCGAGGTCATGCAATGGCTTATCCTGTTCTGCCTAGGTAGTACTTACACAAGACCGCAGCACTAAGACATGCAAGTCTTACCGAGCCCGTCTATCTGAACGTCTGCCTGTGTGTTTCCGCGTTTATCTTCCGACAGATGATGGGGATCCATAGCCCTTGATGGGAGAGCTGTACGTAGGTATCCGGCCTACCATCTCCGCGGTACGTAACGAGACTGCGTAATAACGGCGCCAGAGACATGGAATGGAAGTAAGTAGAGACCTCGGCCAATCTTCTAGGATTGGGCCAGGATAACAGCACGAAACATCTTGTCTCACACGGGCATATAATCTCGTGTGCCCCAACTTTGGGCATAGAACGTCGAGAATGTTTGTGGCGGGTCATCTACTCGCTTCTTCCGGCGAAGGGGCTATGCCGTGCGAGGTCTCACAGCGATCTGGTGGCTTTGGTGGCCCGATGCGGCGGAGGACGACAGGAAACGTCTTGCGACGTCAATCTGCGTCTGGGGTGCCGGCCGTAGTATAGCGTCAGATCTGCCGATACTGATTCGGTACGATCGTGGCAAAGCGAATAAATAAGACGAAAACCCGCACCGAACAGGTAATCTGCGCTTGATGAAGGAGGAGGGCGCTAACGTCGTGCAACTTTGCAACTTTGCGACTTTGCAGATGATGCATCTATTAACCATATCTAGAAATATACTATTTTCAACGCCCCCCTGAGATCTGATATAATATGGTCCTCACTAAAGTAATGCTATCCAACGCCATATAATGACATACATGCTGGAGAAACAAACAAGATGCTAAAAGGTATCGATGACTATAGTCGAGACTGCACCGGTGGGAAATTACTCTCTTCGGGCCATCTTACGTCAGGCCAGATGTGGCGGATGGCTTCCCAAATGTGACTGGAAGAATCTTAGTTAGCCAGATGGATAATCATAGGCGAAGGTTGAACTGGGGAACCACATAGCAAATACATACCTGACGTAGATAATTTTCAGGTTATCTTTTACTTCTGACGGTACTTCTCTCGCATCCTTCTCGTTTTGCGCCGGTAACAGCACCGTCTTAACTCCAGCGCGGTATGCTCCGATTAACTTCTCCTTTATTCCCCCGACTCTCTTTACGTGGCCAGAGAGTTGAAATTCGCCCTATCATAAGTATTAGTATCTCGTCAATAGACATATAGGAACTTTGCTCAACTTACAGTCATGGCCATTGTTGGGGGAACAGGTCGTCCGGAAAGGAGTGATATGAGTGCAATTGCTTGAGCCATTCCGCTCGACGGGCCATCTTTCGGTACGGCTCCGGAGGGGCAATGAACATGCAAACTGCGTTTCATCATGATGTTTTCTGTAGGATCCTGGGTCAATCCTAACTCGTACGCATGATTGCGAACCCAACTTCTCGCAACTTTGACACTTTCTTTCAGAACGTCTCCGAGATTGCCTGTAAGCTCTACGCTGCCATCGCCGGGCATATCGAGGACTTCGATGAACAGGATACCTCCATTTCCTCCAGAGCTATAAGCAACAAGTCCCGTAACTATACCCGGCTGGGTGGTTTTCTCCGCTATCTCGTCTTCGAATTTTTCTATGCCTAGAATAGATTCGAGATCTTCAACCGTAACTTCTGCACGGTATGTCTCTGGTTGGCCACGGTCGTTGGCCTCCACAAATTCGACGGCCTTCGCGCGGCAGACGGAGCCAATCTCTCGCTCGAGGTTACGAACTCCTGCCTCACGAGTATACGACTCGATTATCTTTGATATTACCTCCTCGCTAAAACGCACCTGATCTTCTGAGAGTCCATTTACCTTAATTTGCTTAGGTACAAGGTGTCGTAACGCGATATGTCGCTTTTCAAGCGTGGTATAGCCGGAGAATTCCAGGGTTTCCATACGATCTAGTAGCGGACCAGGGATAGTGTCAAGGGTATTCGCAGTAGCAATGAAAAGTACCTTACTTAGATCGATTGGAGTGTTGATGTAATGGTCATGGAATGCATGGTTTTGTTCGGGATCGAGCACTTCGAGCATCGCCGCGGCAGGGTCGCCGTTATGGTTAGACATACCCAGCTTGTCTATCTCGTCCAACAGGAAAATCGGGTTAGACACGCCAACTTTCTTTAAGCCTTGTACAATCAGACCTGGCATCGCGGCCACATATGTTCTCCGGTGCCCCCGGATTTCCGCTTCATCCCTAACGCCACCGAGCGAGATACGGTGGAATTTACGACCAAGGGCCGTCGCGATAGATTTAGCTATGCTAGTCTTGCCGACACCAGGGGGACCGACCAAGAGCAAGATAGGCGCTTTTTCGACATGTCGCTTGTTCTTCAGCATTTGAACTTTAAGACCGCTGGCCTTTATTTTCTCTTCTAATTCGGGATCGATGACCGCGGCGTCCTTTGCACTGTCCTTGGTGGACTCCAGGTCGGCGATTTCTTGTTCGGCTTGCTTAATTTGATGTTCCACTGCTTCATTGGCTGATTGCATCAATCTCACAATTGTGAGGTATGATAGTAGGCGCTTCTTCACTTTTTCGATTCCGTAATGGTCATCGTCAAGCTGCTTCCTTGCAGCCTCCAATGTGCCGACCCCAATTGGGTCATCTGTAGTGACAGACCACGGTATCTCGGCCAATGTTTCGAGATACGTCCTGACAACCTGATACTCGGCCTGCGCTGGCATCATCTGCTTCAACCGCTTCAACTCGCGTTCGGCCACCGTCGCGGCATCTGGCGGAAGCTTAGCATCCGCGATCTTCTTCTCGAGATCCTGTAAGTCGTCCGAATCTTGCTGATCGCCCGGTCCGCCGCCAAACATGCCGAACGGCGATCCACCACCGAGATTAAGACCAGCCGGAGGCTTAATAAGTCCTGGTAGCTGCGGTTTGATATTCCGTCTATTTCTTATCTTTTCGATGTCTTCGGGGTCGATACGGATAGGGATAGTTCCGCTACTTATAGTAGTAACCTTGATATGGCCTTTTAGGTCCTCCACGTGACGGTCGAGTATCTCGATAACCTTTTGCATACGAGTTGCAACATCAAGAGCGGCGAGAACTTGGAGCTTCTCCTCATAGGAAGTATCGACCACGTTCATCATGAAGTCGGCTAGCGAACCTCCCTCGCTAGGATTTTTCCTAGCAATGAGCTGTTCGAGCCTCCGCGTAAGGAGAGGATTCAGCCCCGCGGTACCACTGGATAGCAGAAAAGCCGATATGCGAAGGTAGGATATTAGTTCCCGCGACAGTCGCTTCAGGGTACCAAAGAGCTCTTGATAAGAAGGCTTCTTGAGTTCCTCGGCATCGAGCTGGTCCGTATGAGGGAACACCTTTGCCTCAAAGAAGGGGCGCTCTTGCGTGATCTTCTCGATAGATACGCGCGAGACTCCTTGCACAAGCAAGTTGAACTCGGCACCATTTTGTCCCTGAATCGCATTTATCCTTCCAGATACTCCGTAGGCAAATAACCGGTCCTTCTTAATGCTGCTACTGTCCGCACTAATAAGCTCCTCATAGTTCCCAGGCTTCTCCTCTAGAAGTGCCTGGCCGCGAGAATTCAACATGGGCGAGTTAAGGGGTACGCAGATAACGGGGATCTGATCGACCCGGCTCGAGTTTTTGGAAGCACGGGCATAGACGTTCGAAAGCAAGGCGGGTATGTCGGAGCGGTCTGTAGGTACGGGTACTCGAATGATAGAGCCGGGGAAGAGAACATTGTTCTTACCGAGGGGGATCACAGGCATAGCTGTCGATTGCGCCATGTTGACGTGTTTCCCCTTTGGGGTTGCGATCGATTGGCCAAAAGGAAAAAGAGCAATAGCAATAAACTTCAAAGGTGAGGGTCGTACTACTACTACGTCGCACAAAGAAGTTGACGAGACGGCGAATTAGTCGCTGACTCGTAGTTGATTGAGAGGAAGTTTTTAGTTTCGGGTCGGTTCGGTCGGGGATGTATGTATGGGACGTATGTATGTACAGATGTATAGATGTATAGATGTATAGAGGTGCGTGTGCATGTGGGAATCATAAATGTTGATGTCAGAACAGGTGGAAGGTTCTCATGCACTGTAACTAACCTAAACTACCCCTGTAGGCCTACGTAGCTCGGGCTGCGGGACAGCTGGCTTAGGTCTTGGTTCAGGGGTACCGTTCCTTCCAGAAGCTGCGGGTAGACTTACCTACCTCTTACCTTAGGTACAATACGGAATACAATACATCCCAGAACAGCACCTGCACTTACCGAGGTCCATCTCCGCTGCGCCAGAACCCCGGATATCATCCGTATCGAAGCCGAGGACTCCACCATCACAAGATTATACGGTTCGATGGCATTGTGATAATGCGTGATAACCTCATTCTAACTACATATCGTCTGTTCATGTAGTTACCTATTTATTGGACAGTGTGAAATTTACTGTATTGTGACTTTACAAGGTATACCAATAACTACATAGAAAGTTAATACCGGGTAAGTATTGTATTGTACATCATTAGGTACCCCCGTAAGAGGCTGTTAGGTAGGCCATTACACGGCACAAGCCACAGCAGGCTACACAAGCCAAGCTACCCCGCGATTTACGATTTAGCGTAACCAGTTCCAGTTAAGAGTTAAGTAAAGAAATCAATTAAAAAGTTCAAGTCGCGTAATCCAACATTTTAAACGCGTCTCCTACTTGACCAACTAGACCCTTCCTATCACCTAAATCACCTCCTCCTCCTCCTTCCACGAGACACCGCCTTATACCACAGACAATGGCTAGTACGTATTTTCTATGAGGCCTCTCTCCCTATAAATATATTTAGTATCCATATATCCATATATCTATCTACCTAATATCAAATATATCTATATATATCATGAATATTAACTTCGCCATCTAGGCTACGGCGGATACGGCGCGACGACCGGCGGCAACGACGGGGGGTTCTTCGGGGGCTCCCAGAGCGGGAGCCAAGCGGCGAACGCGGTGAGCGAAGATTCGCTGCGGCCGGTGACGGTAAAGCAAATCATCGACGCGGAGCAGTCCTTCAACCGGGAGAACAGCTTCCGGATCGACGGCGCCGACGTCTCCCAGGTCACCTTCGTCGGCATGGTCCGCCAGATCAGCCCCCAGACCACCAACATCACGTACCGCCTCGACGACGGCACCGGCATCATCGAGGTCAAGCAGTGGCTCGACGCCGACCGCCAGGACGACGCTGCCCACAACCCCTTCCACGAGGAGCAGTACGTCCGCGTCTGGGGCCGCCTTCGCAGTTTCGGTAACAAGCGCCACGTCGGCGTCCACGTCATCAAGCCCGTCACCGACTTCAACGAGGTCAACTACCACCTGCTCGAAGCTACTTACGTGCACCTGTTCTTCACCCGTGGTGCGTTAGGCGGCGGCGGCGGCGGCGATGGAAATGCCGCCGAGGACGATAGCATGTTCGTCGAGAACAACGATGCCATGTTCCTACAAGGCGCGTCGGTCAAAGCACGGAAGATGTACCAATACCTTAACCAGTCGAAGAGCGGGGAGGGTACCAACATGCACGTCATAGCCAAGGAGACAGGCATGACGATCCAGGATGTTATGGCTGCTGCCGAAGAGCTGCTAGGCCACGGCAAGATCTACACTACTCTCGACGACGAGACATTTGCCGTCCTGGAAGGGTTTTAAATTCTTGGTTTCAGTAACGAGTTGCTATCGAGGCGAAACTTTGTTACATGTCACGTTCCGGCGTTATTGGCATGATGGAGACTATAAGGCATGAGGCGGACATCAATCACATGGGTTTGGCTAAGAATGGAACCAACGTGTATAATGAATGCTTTCTAGTGTAGATTATCTACCTAGATACGAAGGATTGACTAATGACACCTAAAATGAACCAGAATTTAAGATAATATGCACCCCTATCTCCTCCCCCCAAAGAAGTGAATAGTGGCGACGTACCAATCCGAGACGAAACTAGATGGGGCAAAGCACCCGTAACCGTAACGCGGGTAGCGCCGAAAGGCCTAGTAAGGCGGAAACGTGGTAAATTTCTAAAAGTAAAGGATTCCCAGATATTTGGTCGTCCACTAAAGAGAGTGAGAAAGTAACACCGGGGTTTTCTACCCCACGAGGACCCTAGAAGTAAAAAGAGTAGAAGAGTAAGCAGAATCAAGAAGCAACCGGAAACTCAGACTTTCAGCAAATCGAGTAATTTCGCATCGCAAGCTAGATCATAACTCATCGACTCCTATCAACTTCAGCGTCATCTTCATCAGTAATAACAACAGCGGCAAAAAAAAAAAAAAAAAGGGCGATGGCAGCAGAAACAGTCTCATCCATTTGACAACCCTTACATCTTCTTGAACCCGGGGTTAAGCTTGATGGGGATCGATTTGGATAGCTTCTGCGGCTCGCGGACCATGATGCTCAGACGGACTGGGGACTTGCAATGGACACCCAGGTAGATGTCCTTCTTGAACTCGAAGCCGAACTTCTTGTAGTACGACGTATTCTTCTCCGAACTGGACTCGAGGTACATGGCTCGGCCTTCGGCGTCAGCCTATACAGAATCAGTACATCGGCAGGCATTTGTAGTCGAGACTTGGTAAGACCGCGTGGTGAAGCGTTCAGTTATTTTTGTATTTACTGATATTCCCCCCTGTTTCGTCCCATTGTAGCACGTACCTTGGCAGCCATATGCTCCATGAGCTTCCTCGCGTAGCCCCTACGCTGGCCACTGGGTTTGGTGCCCAGATATACCAGGTAGTAGCAGTCGTTGTCCCTGTCACCCATGACCTCGGCTTTGGTGTCATGGAGCACCGGCATGAGTTCCTGGTAGTAGCGCTTCCGGCCTTCGGCAGACAGTTGATAGTAGAGTCTCCACATACCACTGCGGACGATGGTCACCCAGTCGTCCATCTCCTTGCCAGGCGGCATCCTGTACGTCGCAAGAGTCACGTGTTAGTTGACACTTATGTGCATTTACTTCTTTGCTTTTACCAAGGTAAGCCCCGGGAAGCAAGTAAAACCTGAGTCGAGGCTACGTATCGTTGGCTCGTAGCATGCATACGTAGCCGTAGAGCCCTTGTTTTCTTTTCCCCGGTCGCCCCTCTTGATCTGATGGCAGACTCACCAGAGCGCCACGCCCTCGTAGTCCGGCCCGATGGTGGTTACGACACCCTTGTAGCAGTGGGCTGCCACGATGTAGTTGAAGATATCAACGTGGAGCCGCCACTTGGTCTCGTCATCGTAACCGACCATGTCGTCCGTATCAAGGACGTACTGTGCCAGTTCATCAGTAGCAAAGGCCTGCGCTAGAGATAACGCTGCTTCCTTATACTCCGATATCCCGATAGCACGGACTTGGCCCTCCCATTTTTGTGGAATGAGAGAACGCTTCTTCAACTCAACGAGGGAAACACTGTTGCTTACGTGCTCCATGTTGGGCAGCTTGTCTACTCGAACCTTTCCGGTGGCTGAAAATAGCGGTCACGAATTAGTCGCGACGCTACAGCATTGGGAACTAATTAGATATGACCACCCACCTTAAATATTATTACTTGATATATTCTGTATACTATCTCCTGTGTGGGCTCTCGACAACTGAGTTCTTGAGATAGGCATAAATCTCGCGGGATGAGCAAGGCAATTGAGGCTCGTGCGTAGGTCAACAGACATCAATGTTGAGTTGACGAGGGTGTCGGTCTTAGAACTGAGAGTATTTTAATTCGAATAACAATCGACGTCACTGGGAAGGGAGACGAAGAGCCCAAAGTCCGACAGCCGAAAGAATTGAAGCTGAAAGTTGGATTGAAGCGACAAGGTAGGGTATAGCTAATGACAAAGAACTGAGTCTTGAAAGTACTAATCCCGTGTGAAGGGATAGTGTGCTATAGCAAGATCGATCAGTGTGCCTAAGCTTGTGTCTATTCCTAGTTTCTTGGGTTGAGTGAGAAGAAGCGGAGGAAGAAGGAATCGAGGCTTCCGGAAGTCTGGGGGGGTTTAAAGAGTGGCGGGTCGGAGTACAAAGCACAGTGTACAATGGTTGGGTGAGGCGAAGAGCCAAGGGAGAGGTGCGTGGGATAAGATGCAGAGAGCCTGAATAGTAGATGGTAAGCTGAGGGAGCCGCAGAAGGCATGGAAGCACAAGCGACCAACCAGCCGCTAGGGAACGGATGTATGACACTATTCATTCCCTATCCATGCCCCTCGTGGACTCCTACGTAGTACATAGTAGTAGACAAAGAGTCTCATATCAGCTTGGTTCATTGGTTGTTCGGTACGTAGCGGATGACGGCAACGGCCGTCTGGGCACTATATCTGGACACTATATCTGGGCGCCATACAACTGTGTGTCGGCTTCTTAGTTTAGTAGTCACAGTGCGTCAGACCCAACACATTGGGATCTCGAGTTGCCAGACTTGGCTGCATACATTGTACGCCAGTCTCGTGCGCGGGAGTTGGTGTGTGGGAGGGTTTGGGAACTTGCCCATTGGTACGGAGCAAACATCTTTGCTAAGGTGTGGTAAGAGTGTGATTCTCATTGGGTATGAATGCCGTAGTTTACTCGGCTTGGGATAATACCTCGCATACCGTCGCTCTAGACAGTGTTGATAGTGTTGACAGTGTTGCAGACGCTGATCCCACGTTATTACACGCATCCTACATTAGAGGTTTGCTCATATGTAGCCTTCACCCCGGAGGCACAGGACTGCAGCTTACCTACCTAACCTACCAGCCTACCTAGGTATACTACTACATATGAGGTATGCTACTACGTATAGCTACCATAGTAGTCACCTGACGGGTTGACTTCGACGGCGGTCTGGCCTGGAGGGACAGAGGGATAGCAGTTCGGAAACCCGGAGTTACCACCTACGTCAGTTACACGAGCGCTTGAGGCGGCCGGTTCAACGTTAAGGGCTGGCAACCATCAGGTTTTAACTATCGTACAGGTGTTCCATTGCAGGCATGTGGGAGCCCTAGACGGAGCGTGGGGTTGCGGTTGTGGTTGCGTTGTTTATTCCGGGGGAGAGTCATTGTCATCCCTAAGACCCTGGACCCTAGACCCTAGATCCAAGGTCTGGCTTTTAGTCTGTCGGGTCTGCGGGTTTATCAATGTTATCCTATCAATCGGATACAACTTGCTTTTGTGAACCTAAAAGCGGCGCACTGGGTTACCTTTCTGCTTTACACAGTAGTGTAGGTAGATAACGTAGCTGCCCAGATAGCCAGATAGCCTAGGCATCCCCCGGATCGGCCGGGGTTGTTATGCGGTTGCGGAGTCGGTGATACGCTGATAGCCTCTGATAACCTCTGATACCCTTATTGCCTTCCAAGGTTGAAGTTAATCTTACATCAGGATATTACATAGTAGATGTGATTAGATGATTGGATGTGATATTAACGAGGTCTTGCATTTCTGAAACAATTGAAAACAGTAAAACCCCTCGCTTCCAATACGGCATAGGGGCATAGGGGAAAAGGGGGATATCTATGAAAATATGCAGTTCGCCATCGGGCGTAAAAAACAAAGTGTACTCTAGATAAGGCATAAAGCAAGCTTCTTCCATCCTTTCTCAGCTGAGTTCTAAAAATCAAATAAAGAAATCAGTAAACAATCGGATTCTTCTTCTTTTTTTCCCCCTCCGACCGGTCGAACCTCGCTTCACATGCGCCTAATCTCCTGCTCGTTGGTGTACTTCTCAAGACCGGAGTCAAGGTTTTCCCACCATTCGAAAAGCATCGACTCGCATATGAGCTTAAACCAAGGCGTGAACTTTAACTCTGGGTCTTTGAAGAGAGTCTTAAGTTCTTCAGCAGTGACGTATTTAGTGTCCTTCACTTCGTTGGGGTTGGCATGGAGATCCACGTTCGCCTTGATAAAAAGGATATAGTCAACTAATGGTAATTATTAGCATTCTATCGTTATCTTGGCATTGGTTTCAGCTTTCAGCTTTCAGCTTTCTTACTCTCGTGCTCGCCCCATTTACCATCGCTAGGAGCTTTATAATGGATTCGTGTTAGGAAGTGGAAGTCCTCGAATGGTACCTGCTCCTTCTTAATGCCTAGCTCGTGGTCGAGTTTTCGTTGCGCAGCGCGCTTAACACCCTCGACCGAATCTGGCAGGTTGGAGCCGGTCTCGCCAGGAATTCCCAAGGGGTGAGAACAGCAAGTATTCGTCCACATATCAGGAAAGGTGATCTTTTCGGATGCGCGCTGCTGAAGGAGCAATCGATTCTTATCATCAAAGAGAAAGCAGGAGAAAGCTCGGTGCAGTAAACCCTTGTCGATGTTTGTCATAAGATGGCCTACAAAGGTTAGCCATTGCCCTGCCATCTCCTATAGATTTCCTACATACAAAGCTTCTTGCTGGCCGTTCCTATTGGGTTGTCGTCATTATCGAGAACAATGCACACCTCGTCCATGAGTCGAATCTGTTCTGCATCGTGACCTTCTAGCTCGGCGGAGCTAGTGTCTATGTCTGGGAAAAGACGGAGTAGGGTTTCCGCCGTCGGGATACTCTGGGTGACAGTCGTAGTAGTAGACATCGTGGCCGGGTTATCGTGGTATATTGGAGTAATGTTCGTCTTCGTCTACTAGAAAAGGGAGAGGAGCGATGTGTTACACTTTTGCGAAATTAAATATAATTGGGAATTGCATATCGATTAATCCCACTAGCACTAAGCGTCAGACGGGGACCCCGCCCTCGGTTTTAAAACAAACTTTTAGGGGTCATTACACTACACCGCGCACGCCGCACGGGTCACTACATAGCTACATGTAGGTACCTAATGGAATTGACGTATCTATGTCCTATCGATAGACTATCAGCCTCACTCATGCGATGCACCTTACCTTGTCCTTCCAATCAATATATTCTTGGCTGATTTAAGGTTAAACAACTTGTCTAAACATGCGTACCGTGCGAATCCATGTGTTTTACGAACTCCGATTATTAAATTCATTATGTCTCACTTCACCACATCATCAAATGTACAATACATAGGCAAAGTTGAGGTACGTATGGGTGTTGCTGCTACCTACATATCAATTAGAGATGAACTCGAAAGATAATATGGAGTAAGGAGATTTAGGGATCTGTTATATCGACAAATCATACACAATTACATCTATCCCTTACTTGAAAACATACGCTACAATATACAATATGGCCACATCCCCAACATTATTTAACCAGCTGCATTCCTATGCTCAGCATCCCGAGCTGACTGCTCCCAGTCCGAGACACAAGTATACCAAAACTCCAGTCCAGCAACTCTATCATAAGGGTCAGCAACTTTCGTATGCGGGATTTTCCAGAAGCATATGGATGTGAATGAATGAATGAACTTACAGAGCCAATCCTATCGTAGTTCCCAGCCACAAGCCTATAAGCTTCCAATCAAGTGCAAAAGCGGTGGCAAACGATATGGGCAACGCGAGGAGATAATAGATCGACAGGTTTGCGTAACCACCAAATGACTGCTTCCCGATACCACGAAGCAACCCGTGGGCAACAGCTGCAAGGCCGTCGAAAACCTGCATAACCGCCACAAGCGGCATGACTCTCGCTACTATAGCAATTACCTCTTCATCTCGGGTAAAGAGAAGGGGAAGCTGGTAACGGAGACCCGCGAGTAAGCTCAGGTTGAATAATCCAATAATACAACCCGCTCCGAACGCCTTGGATTCGTTAGTCCGTATATCTCAAAAGCTTGGTCGATATCTAAGGTAGGTAGGTAACTTACGACTTTGGCCGAGGTTTTGGCAGCATTAACCAACCGAGCCCCTATTAAATTAGCAATCCTCGTAGAAGCAGCGATAGAAACGGGGAAAGGAATGTTGAAGGTCGTTGACGTCAGAGTTATCAAAATACTCTGTGCCGCTAGGTAGGATGTTCCAAATTGGCTTGTTGCCAACGTAAGGATCTCAAATGCAAGCCATTCGGCCATCACCATCACCATGCCGGGCAAGGCGAGCCAAACCATGGGACCTGCGGTACGTTAGTAATCGACCTCGAACGATACTTGCGTCGATGCCGTGTTGAAACTTACCCCAATTGTTGAGAGCACGTCGGGTAAAGCCTCCCCAGCATTGGGAACCGTCCACAAACAATACGTAGGATAGGAGGAGAAGTGGCATTAATGTCTGCGTTATGGCAACGGAAATAGGCGCACCGACGAATCCGAATCCGAAGTGCCAAACGAAAAGCCAGTTCATAAATATGTTTAAGGGGGCCGCAATCAACAAGACGTAAGTTGTTGCGATGAATAAACCTTGCGATAAGACAAATCGCTTGCCTCCTTCAAATGCGACAAAGCCGGGCACACCTGCGATGATAACACGAAGGTAGAGACCCGCGAGCTCGGCAGATCGCGGTTCAGGGACAATATGGAGGAGTATATCTTCGGCAAAGAAGAATAGCACAGCAACAGGGACAACAAGCGACCACAGGAAGTAAGTCATTCTCTGGAGCTGTAGACCTACTAAATGTTTATGGCCAGATCCGTATGCCTGCGCGCAAAGAGTATCTAGACTTGTTGCTAGGCCTTGCATCGGAGCGTAACAGCAAATATTCGCCGTCATGGTGGCCACTATGGTTCGTTAGCAATACTCGGAAGACAAGAACAAGGCATTCCAACTTACAGCTCACGGCACCCAGCTCGACTTTTCCAATCCGTCCGACGGCAAAAATACTAGTGATATTGATGCTATATTGCAATAAAAATGTTAAGATTAACGATCGCGAGTAAGTGGCAATAGTCTTAGCCTCCCTTTGCCAGGTGGTATCTATCATCCCAGACGCCACCGCGGCATCCCACTGCTCATTTAGGTGCTCATGGTGTGAGGCCGACGAGTCAGCAGCACTAGCTAATAGAGGTGAGATCTCGGAGGGCTGAATAGTGATCCTAGGGACTTCCTCATCTTCTGGCAATTTGCGAATTTTGGTGTTGAACATGGCCTTATACAGCCTTGAAAATGTCCCGGGCCGTCCTTCTGAGGTATGTTTAGGCGGAATGATGTGGTTATCTCTTAACAAACTGCGTTCGGCATCACGAGACTGCTTCTTTTCGACCCTAGTAAGAACGGGCTCGTTAACCGGGTCGATTACAAGACTCGGTCGCCTATACCCAAATGCCAGTCCGGTAGGTTGTGTATATAAGACAGGTCCACTTTCAGTTTCAGACTCGGACCCGGTCCCATCGTCGAAGGCATCCTCGACTACCTCATCCTCGGAGCATTCAGCCAGATCACTAGCCAGTATCTCCTGCGCTATTGGCGAAGCGGGCTTGAAAGACGAAGCCACGTCCAGCCCCCTTTTCTTTGGGGGGATCGGTTTAGAATCGGGCATCTTGCCGTTTAATTAACGAGTTAAAGAAAACCAAGGCTCTTCAATAATCCACTTAGAAAAGGAAGGAAATTCCGCTCAGTCACATTAGTAACTAGAGGCGCGCGAAACGATAATCGTGCCAAAGCTTATCAAGTTCAAAGCGTGGAGTCTTTTTCCACTGGGAAGATTCTATTTAAAAGATATAATTTAAGAGCCCGTGGTTTATATTAATATGATATTTAAGACAAAAAAGAAAGAAAGAAAAAGCATAAGAAGCTATTATGGCAAACTACTATTTACCTAGTAGATTTGCCATAGCCTTGGTTGACTCAATACTATCCCCAGTTCTGCGTTAGTCTCCAGTTTCTGGAGGCAATCGAAATTTACACCGGCTTTGGCCCCCGCTTGATTGGCCGCCACCGGAGCTCGTCCTCGGCTGTGCCGTTATTGGAAAGTTTTGTATACTTGTCTCGTCTTGGTCTAGCTCAAGCGGGTAGATACATACCTGTTATGGCGATGCTTATGGGCTGGGAGCGTAGGTACATACATATCGGGAATAAGGTGAGACCGGAATGGAATACTATTGTACAATACGTAAGCTTGAACTTGCATGACGCGATATCTGCATACATTAAAGACAGGTAGGCGATCCTACTACCTAGGTACCTAGGTACATAGTAGGTAGCTTAAGAGCTATAGCCCGCTTCTTATTGGTTCGTGCGCGAGTCCCCCGGATTTGACTATTTTGAGCCCCTGCTCCATTTCAACATCTATCGCCAATCATAGCATCTTTACTTACAAGCTACATAACTACCCAAGGTAATAATAACAAACAGTCGAAACCTTGATATCATCTTAAATCTTCACCCTGGGTACATACATACATACTTAATAATTAATTCATTAATACCTAACTTAACCTAACCTAACCTATCTAGTAAGGACAATAATGCCAGCCCTCCAATCCGATCCCGAAGACCCCCGGTCGTCATCGCGTTCCTGCTGCAGCAGCGGTCTCTCGTTCGCGGAGCTGAGCCGCCCGGTCGAGGTGAACGACTCGTCTGTTAGTAACGTATTCTGGAGTTGGCCAATCCTCGGCCCGCTGCTCGTCGAGAACGAGAGCAGCGACACGCGTGATCATTGCGCCAATGAGCGAAGTTAGTTCTTTCTCTCTACCATCATCCACTGTATTTATTAAATACCTATATATAATATATATACCTATATATACATATACATTATAAGCTAACAAGACCGCCCCGGGATAGCCTTCCTGTCCTACCTCCGGCTCTCCGTCTACATGGCCATCGTCGCCATCGCCATAGTATCATCCTTCCACCTTAAATCCCAGCCCTCAGACCTCGAGCTGCGCATGGCCCAGCCGCTCGGGATTGTCTTCTGGTTGCTCTCTCTGGCTTGCTTGATTCTCGGGCTCGGTAATTATATTAGTTCGTGCACTCTACCTAGCTTCTCCACTACAAACCGTAGGTATAAATTGCTAACGGCTGGCCGCGAGCAGAGACTCTGGATAAGTACAGTAGGAAAGTCGCTATAGTCCAGACAGGCTGGAGGACACAATCGGTGAGTTTCGCGTGCTACTCTGACCCCTTTAAATAGATCTGGGGCTGATAAGGTGCAAAGATCATGTCACTTATCGCATTGTCCATCGTAGGCACTTGCGTTATACTATTGGTAATCACTAAAGCGCCGGTAGAGGAATAACCACACTTTTCTTGGCTCCAGCTGTCTTCTTGTCCATTTGACTTCTGAAGTGATATATACATGGTGTGCCGTCATAAACCTGCTGATATATGTACCCTATATCCCGGGCAAAGTACGCCAAACACCACGATCAAATGCCGGTTCCCATAATTTCAATAACGCCAGCTACATATAGCCCTATGGGCGACAATATCGATAGTATATCGAAGCTTCTTCCAAAGCCCCAAAGTCTATTTCGATAGCTTTCTTGTTACGGCAACCTTTACTCTGCTATGCAGAATAGATCTCGTGCCGACAAACGCTCCTTCTCTTTCAACTTTTCTGTGGGCTCTGTCCCACAGTTACCGGCCGTCTCTCTAAATTCGGCCGAGTATTTGGCGGTGAGGGAGTTCAGTTCTTCGAAATCCGTCACCTGGCCATCCCAAGCTAATATGGGCAAGTCCCCAAATGGGCGCAAGCTTCCCTTATTAGGAAGACTATCAAGTAGGGACACCGGGGCAAGGGTAATCTCCGACCCTGCTCGGATCTTTTGCCTAACGTTTTCAATCTCTTCCTCTGTTGCATCGTCTGCCAAGAGCGGCTTCGAATTTTCTTTAGTAGCATACTCCTCGGGTATATGCTTCAGCTCTCTATGGACCGTGGCCAGGTTCCTAGCAGTGTCGATCCCGGGATACAACATCCAATAGCCGCGTGCTCGAGCTAGTCTCAGGGCATGTTCCAGCCAAGACGGATGTTGTATACTCACGACCTTTTCTGACAGGAGCACCGGGACAGGGTCCAACTCCTGCTTAGCTTCTAGTGATCTGGAGACGAAGTCGTGTAGCTCCACCCATTTGTCGCCTAGGAAAAGCACAGCATTGCTGGTGGGTGCTTGCCAGAGAAACGAGGTTGAAGCTTCATTCTGTGGAGCGTCGCTGGACTTGGAATCTTGTACCATCGAAGGCGGAGAAAATGATCCTTTTCCGTCCAGTAGCTGGAGCGGTTGTTCGAGACTGATGCCAAAAAGCCGGCGGTCCCAGTGCTGGTGAGTGGCAATAGCTGAGTATCTATATTCAAATAAAGAGTATTTCAAGTCTATGAGGGCCAATTAAAAGCGCGTTCAAGTAAAAGGGGCACAATGCTTACAATGGAAGAAATCGGGGGATAATTCGGCTTGCGGAGAGAGTACTAATATATGCGAGAGCTCTGGCTGGGCCGGCCAGAAAGATTCAAGAAAGTGGGCAGAACTCTCCTCCTCATTCATCCTCTTGCGAGGTATACGATGGCGGAGAGAAAGATGCCGTGCATTAGTTGGGTTAGGGACATGGGCGGGCGGCCAGGCGAACGTTTCGAGAAAGTGCTTAGTTGAATAGTCAACGTCGTGAGGAAGCTCGATGGTGAGATGAGGGACTGAACCCGTAGTATAGTCGGCAGCACTAAGTGATCTAAGAAGTCTGATTAAGCTCCCCGAAGTGCCCGGTACTGCATGAATGAGAATATCAATCTGCACTTTATTCCACACTTAAAAAAAACATTGTCAGTAATGCTACCTAAGGCATGGTTAAGATGGTTAAGTAATGAATAGTCTTACTGCGTAAAGCCTGACTATCGAGCTTTGTTAGCCACTCGAGCCTCTTTCCGGATCCACGCGGTAGCTCAATTAAAGTATTCTTCTTGACATTTACGTGCTGCTTTACGGCTCGTAGGAAGAAGGGTTCCTCGTCACTTGAACCATCTACAAAAATAGCTTGAGGGTGCATATAATAAAATATGTGATCTAGAATAGACATAAGCAAATGCGCCCATCCCGCGGAAGAGATAATACGCACGTAACGCTCGAAATACGGCATTTTCCATTCGATCGTCTGTCGATACCTGAGCATAGTCGGTACGCGCATCTTATAATTATCTAAGTTAGTAGGCGCCCGCGTCATCTTAACCTTTACGGGTATCGTACCGTGGAATATAATGTGACAAGAATCGTCGATGCCGTTAAGTTTCCGCAGGTCTCGTATATCGATATCGCTACGACTCATCAAGGCAAAGTGCACATAATTCTGTAGTTCGATTCCCATCTGGCAGGCGATCGGCAGCAGGGTCGCCGCGCTCTTAAGGCTCGAGGTCGCAAATAAGATGTTCCTATTCATCGCCATTGTTCCTCTTGTGCCACCGATGGCGTGTAGTGTCTGCGCCAGTTCGAGGAACTTGACGGGTCCATTGAAATTGCGCTCGGGCGTGTTCGGCGGACGGGTATGCGGTTTAGTCGGGGGAGATTTGGACCGTTCGTAAGACGGGCGCTTGAGAGTAGCAGCATCGGGGTCGTCTAGGTAGGTGTAGCTAGGACGGCGCATCTGTGCGTTAGGGCCGAGGTCGGGTATATTCTTGATGAACAGATAAATGATGACAGCTACCACAAGCGCGATAGCTATACGTTTGAGCGACCGTCGAGGAGGGACTCTAGCAGGATGCCAATTAGGCTGTCGCAAACCAGTGCCATTCTTAAAGGGCTTATGGTCATCATCCTTCTTGCCCAACTCCTCTTCGCTAAGGAAAAATCCTCGCATCTTTCCCCACGTAGACATACCCGAAAGTTCGGCACCGGCCCTTCAGCGCAAGCAGAAGATGGGCAAGCTACCTAGGTGCCTAGATAGATATCACAGCGCGGTCCTTAAGGGTGACAGAGGCGTTGAAAGACGCATCTCAAAATCGCAATCGCACCTCCAAGATCGAGTAAAGGTTTCGTAGGAAAAAGATGGGTTGGCTAGATATAGATACGGAAGTTTAGGGCTGAGCGACGATGAAGCTCTTGGGAGTGACGATCCCGTTGCTTTTAAGGGTCCTAGGTCCTAGCCTAGGTAGGTTAGTAATTTACAATTCCCGCATTCGTCACGGGCACGTATTATGTCCGGGTGTACAATACATTGAATACCATAGCGGTAATATGTGGTTACTTAAAATGATTCCTTATTTTAAATATTATATTACTTATAATAATGGTTAAATTAAGTAATACCATATTAATATACGTAATTATTTTTTATCGGAAAACCATTTTTTTAAAAACTATTATTCTTTATAAAAAAACCATTTTTTCGAAAATTATTATTTTTTTATAAATTATTATTTTTTTATAAATTATTATTTTTTTATATATAATTATTATTTTATAAATAATGATTTTTATATAAATAATTATTTTATTATTTATAATATTTTCATTTTTAAAAATTATTTTATTTTTAATAATTATTTTATTTTAAATAATTATTTTATAATTAATATTTATTTTTTTTTTAATAATTATTTTAAAAT